GGGGAGTGGGGCAAAAAGTGTGTGTGCTGGGTGAGTGGGGTCCTTCATGATGCAGGTGGCCCTCTTCCTGCATCTGGAGGTGTAGATGTATGTGATGGTGGTGAGACTGACTCCAACAGACTTCTGTGCAGCCTCCAAGCCACACGTTGATGCTGGAGCACAAGATGCTCTCCACTGCACACCTGTAGAAGGATAAAAAGAAAAGTTTCAATGAAAACACAAAACGCCAAAAAAAGTGAGGTACCAACTTCTATTTTGGTGATTGGCTGCGTCTAGGCACAAGAAAGGACCCTGTTGAAAATTTGGTTCCACCATGAAAATCCAGCATATATTCATTCAACCTTTACGTAGACAGGTAAATCCCATTGAGCCTCGAGGACTCATTTACAAGAGAGACCTGAATTTCATATGCACACGCTAACGAATGAACTGACCACCTTAATCGTTTGAGGAAACTATGCTTTCTAGTTTTCATATTTAAAAAGATTAATCTATGGTGGCCAAGTCCACCATTGACCACCCCCTGGCTTTGCCTATGTGCCTGGGAGTGGATAAAATTTATTTCCTCTGCTCGCAAAAATTTTGTCACCTTGCACCACTTCAGACAAGAAAAAAATAAATAAATTCACCAGTTCAGTCTCTGTAAGAGCTTTTTGGAGAGTTTGAGTTGCTTCACAGGATGGTGTTTAAAGTTAGCATTAGTTACAAGTTACGCAGTGTAACTTTTACTCACTTGAACATTTTACACTAAAAACATCAAGGTTTCATTCCTTGTTCAAGTCAAGAAAAACACTCATCTCGAAAAGTACAAACATTCACTATTGAAATCCCTCAGCAACGGGACATCGACGTACTACTCGTTAACTTTACAATAAACATATATTTAAGATAATTCCTGAAAAGGTTAGCGTGTATTTGAATCTTGTTCCATTTTTACGTTCCTGCTGGAATGTTAACCTGCATTCCTGGATTCAACAACAGAATGTGTTCAGTGATGTCATTCAGCATTTCCCGTTCTAAATTTAATAATTTATTTTATGATCCATCCACTCCACCTCTTCTTTTTAAAAGGGACATAATAATAAAAAAATAAGGATATATTCGAGAGAGAAAAAAAATTCTCCCATTGAAAATTTATTTTGACTGCTATTGGTTTTCACAATGTTGAATTTCAATGCTGTTGCTTTTATTCCATAACTTATTTTTTTAGAAATATAAATGCAATGCAATCTACGTCTGCTCTCTTCCAGTGAATACTATTTGTGCTTTGGTAAAATACTAAATCAAGAAAGGTTTTATTAAAAAACAAACAATCTGAATAACAAAATGTTGTTAATACAAACTTATATGGTTTGATCATGTACTGTAATTAGTGTATGTTTGGAAAAGGCTTTTGTGTACAGAAAGTCTGCAGTTGTTTTATTTTTATTTTCCAATACAATGTTAAATACATTACAACACTTGGAAATAGCATGCAAGTTTGACAAGAGAGTAGCTTATTGCAGGATTGTTCTTTTTTATTAATCTTTTATGGTCAACTAATAATTTATTCAACAAAGAGGCTCCAACTGATCAAAAGCTTTTATTTTTCTGAGGAACGATCTTGAAATTGTGTTTGCTCACTCTCCCACTTTCTGTAGGATGATTCTGGATTACAGAAGCTGTTATTTAATCCAAACAAGGTTTCAACACTTGCTTTCTGCTTTTCAATACTGAACCATCTTTCTGCCTACAATATGTGTTGCAAGATGGATTGTGAGTTATGTCTTACCACATGGACACTCTTATATACTGAATAACTGGGACGAGCATTTAAAATATTAAAATGTCGAGCTAAACTAATCACTTTGGATAATACTTGGGTTCAGTCCTGGCACCAAAGATTAAACCCAGTTCATGCGTTCAAGTAACAATTCCAGAGTGAAACGCTTCGATTATGTGTTAAACATCTGTCACTGGTGCTTTAATTAATTTAATTACTTTAACAGACTGATCACTGCGATAACGTCAGTCTAAAATTTAGTCTAGCAATTCCTCATTATATGAGCGATGCTCCTGTTTTTTAACAATTTGCAGGAGCTGGGTGTGTTCAGAGGATTTCTGTCAGTTGGATACAGTAAATCACTGTGTGACCAAGGTGTGTGTTTTATGTAGTAAAGTAGATCAGACCAAATGATTACCTACTTTTCAGCTGATAAGACACTGACAACAATGTTAGGTTGATGTGTAAAACTTTTAATCTTTTTAATGTTCTGTACGTTAGATAAGTTTCCAAACTGTACTAGTAATGCAAGATCATGACAGGTTTTGCTCGACTGTTGGGAGAATGAGCCAAAAGAGAGCGCACATTTTACTTATGACGTTTAATAGAATATTTTTTGTTTCTTTTCGTCTGGCCTTGCCAGAAGAACTGAGTAGATGAGGGCTTTAATTAGCCTTTCATCATGTGTCAAAGGACTGATGGTTGTATCTTAAAACTTTCAAAGAGTGGAGGTGAAGTTTCTGCAGAATTAAGTGCTGCGTCTTTTATCTACACTACAAGAGACTGAACTAGATAGTTTTGTCTGCTTCAGGTTACATCAGCACCTTTATCTCTGTACAAGAATAAGCTGTCTCTTTAGAGAGAATTGAGATTATCTCGAACGTAACAGTACATGACTGTCATTTTTTCTGTTAATTCGTGGTAGTATGTGGTGGATCAGACATCTGTCATGTAGAAAGTGAAAGTAAAGTTAACTTGGAGCTTGGTCAAAGGGATTTTTTTATTAAACATTTTGCTCCATGTAGAGAGACCTGCATTGACTTTTATTAAAAACAAAACTTAATTTAGCTTTATTATTTTTTTTTAATAATTGCCTTTACACAACCAGTAATTCAAAACTTATAATTTAAAAGAAGGTTCAAGTCAATCATAAAATGCTTTGACGATTAGATTTTTTTGGTGTAGCTTTTTTACTAAATTTCATGGATTTCTATTGAAGTTCTCCTTGCTTCAGATACTAACTGAGCAGGTACTAAACAGTTACGTGAAAACAATGCTAACTTTAAAGAAAATCCTCACAAGGTTGAAACAATGACTTTATTGCAGCACTGGAGCCTGTAGAAATGTCATTTGCACACGGTTTACAAATCTGTGGACATAAATTACAAAACGTAAGTCACGGACAGTCCATTTGTGTGCACAAATGGATTATCTGTCTGCATAAATTATACGTCGAAGAGCACATTTTAGAACCAAGAGTTCAAATGTCCTTCACTGATTTGAGGTGGTGGTGCTCCGATGTAAGGAGAGGAGACACAGTGCTGTACCTGAAACTGCTTTATTTTGGTCCATCTGTTGTTATTTACACATCCGCACTCAAGATTCGTGTCCGGTCTGTGCTATTAATTCAAACATCACTGCAGCGATTTAAAAAAGCAGGTCATGCCCATGTTCAAGAAATGCTGTCGATACCACAAATGCAATAAGTTGCATATTATTTGGGTTTTATATAAGTTTAATGCTTCTTGTAGAATGGCGTACCAGTAATTAATATCTTAAGTGTAGAAACACAAATCAAAATATGACGTCTTTATAAAAAAAATATTCACCACCAGTTCAGTCTCTGTAAGTTTCTGTTTCACAGGATGGTGTTTAAAGTTAGCATGAGTTATGAATGAAAAATCTAAATTTTTTTTGGTAACCTACATATGCTGCTGTAGTGCTTCTAAGGGAAGGTATTGCATAATTTAGCTATTCAGTACCAAAACCTACTAAACTGTGTTCTGTTAAAGATGTTGGAAAAGACATCAGAAGCTGAGATTGGGTTGCTTGCAATCCAAGCCATGAACAGCTCAGATTCTATGTAAATTAAAAAAGTAGAAATATTTTTTTGCTTTTATAGCTGCAGCAATTTATCTTGAGTTCACAGTAAACATTTGTTCCAGTTTCATTTGAAATGATTCAACATTCAGTAGGTTGCATTCTTGCTGTGAGTTTTTAATTTTATTTCAGTATTGCATAAGTTTCACATGAGTACATAGTATGCTGCTGAAGAATTTCAAACTGGCTTATTAAAGCGAAAAGAAGCTAAATGATATCCAGAAACCAAAAGTGACAAAATGATAACTAAAAATAGCAAAACGTCAGCTAAAAGTATTGAAAGGCTAGCCAAAGACTATGAAGTGAAAGGTGAGCTAAAATGATCAAAAGGTCAAGGCCTTCCTTGCAAAACAGATAGGTGATTTCAATGAGATTTGCATGGTTAAATAAAGGTTAGTGAACATATAAAGACTGGTTAAAAGCAACAAAAGCTAGCTAGAAGTAATAATTTGTAAAACACTAGCTAAATGTTGCAGTGAAGTAGTTAAAAGAAAATCAGTAGTAGCAAAAAGCTAGCTAATAGTTAAAATTATTATTTTTTAAAAGCCTTAGAAGTACTATAAAACTAGCTATAAACAAAATGTAACAGAATGGTAGCTAAAAGCTAAAAGAAGCAAAAGGTGAGCAAAAAAAAACAACTTAAAAGTAGCAAATTCAGTGAATTCTCTGAAATATGTTTCAGCTATTTCTTAAAGAATTGAAATACTTTAAAATATCTTCAACATGCTACATAATTTTAAAAGTTTAAAAGTGAAAAACACACAGTTGCACCAAATCTCCTAACTGAGCTGTATGTTTTGATATATGAATGGTCAAAACAGCTTAAGTATGCAGAAGTAGCTTTATTGCAACAATGTATGGAAAACAAACAAACAAAAAAATAATAATAGGAAAACAACTGGTATGAATTTTGACTCAATATGCACTCAGTGTTATTGTTACACATATTAGACCATAGTGAGATTAAAGGACAACAGGGTAATGAGTGACAGATAGCTTCAAGGTGGAGGTGGGAGTGCATCAAGGATAGGCTCTTAGCCCCTTTCTGTTTGCTCTGGTTATAGACCAACTAACAGAAGAGGCCAGGAATTGACTATGATGTTTGCAGATGACATTGTGATCTGTGGTGGGAACAGGTGGAACAGAACTTAGAGAGGACATGGAGGTATGCACTTGGAAGAAGAGGAATGAAAGTCAGTTGTAGTAAGACAGAGTACATGTGTGTGAATTAGAGGGAGGCAGGTGGAACAGTGAGGCTACAAGGAACAGAGGAACTTCAAGTACTTGGGGTCCACTGTCCAGAAAAATTAGCTGTGGTAAAGAGGTGAAAAAGAGAGTCCAGGCAGGATGGAGAAAAGTTTCAGGAGTGACTTGCAACAAGAGTGGTAGTAAAGGTAAAGGAAAAGTTTACAAGACAGTCAGGTAAAAGCAGCTATGTTGTATGGTCTGAAGACAGCGACATGGACAAAAAGACAGGAGACAGAGCTGGAAGTGGTGAAAATTAAAAATTTAAGATGTTCAGGTTCTAGGAGTGACAAGGATGGACAAGAGTAGGGATGAGATCAACAGAGGTACAGCACAGGTTGAACAACTGGGAGATAAAAGTAGAGAGGCCAGACTGAGATGGTTTGGACATGTCCAGAGGAGGGACAGTGGGTATACTGGTAGAAGGATGTTAGAAATGCAGCTGCCAGGAAACAGACAGAGGAGATATATGGATACGGTTCGAGGACATGTTGGAGTGAGGACAGAGGGTGCAGAGGACAGAGTGAGATGGAGGAGGATGACTCGCTGTGGAGACCCCTGAAGAGGGAAAAGCTGAAAGAAGCAGTGAGGCTAAAGGACATCCTCATTAGCTTGAGCATGGACTTTGTTGGACATCCTCTTTAGCTTGTCTTCTCAGTCAGTATAGCTTTATGAACCACTGACCGTATATGAGCTCAGGTATGAATCAAACATGGCAATAATTGTTCCTGCTAACCAGTTTGTCACCTACAGACCTTGAGAGGAACTGCCAGTAGACATGTGCTGTTAGCTAAGCGGCTTGCTTTGCTTTTCAAATGGCCGCACGGCGCTTTCCGTAGCGCGTGAGCCAAGAAATAAAATAATTTCGCCGGCTTTTTAAGAGCCGTTCGGCGAAAGAAAGTTGTCCTATCCCGAGCCGAGCCGAGCTTGACTCTCTGTTGTTACCTTGTAGCGGAAAGAATGTCGGAAAAGGCCGAGGATGACGTCAGGGGGGAGCAGCGCCGAGCGGCCAGGCAGCAGCTGAAGCAGCAGCAGATCCAGCGGGGAGAAGGCTCCACAGCAATGGCGACTGTTGCGGAGCGGCGTTCGCTGCCTAGTCCTGAAATAATGCTGGGACAGACTTGGAGCAGCTGGGTCGACGCCGCCAAACTCCACGTACACGACGGTGAGTTCCCCAGCGTGCCGAATGTGTGCGAGAAAGCGAGGGAGAGGGCGACAGTCGCTAGTCCTTTCCCTTTTTTTAGCCGATTGCATGCAGTTTTTGGTCGGGTACGAAGAAACGCTACTGGTAGCAACAGCACGGTCAGGCAAGCAAGTGCAACTATTTATCTGTCCCTGTCTCGGATCGCCTTGTGTTCAGGTGCTGAATCGGAGGAAAGTTTCAAAGACTTTGGGAAAAATCGAGAAGCCATGCGTTTGTGCAGAGAAGGTGAGTGCTTTTCTTTCGCTCCAGGGCCAAAGGTGTATTTTGGTTGTGAGGGTTTGCTCGCAGACACACACACCGACTCCAGCACTTTGTGTGTCGGTCAGTCAGGATGGACTGTAGATCATGCGCAATACAACGAACTAACAACCGGATGTTTCACCTGAAACGACGTGCGTCCACAAGAACAATAAGCACTCATCCAGCAGTTCAGTTTAGGCCAAAACACGAGCATGGCTTTATTGTTTTAGCTTATTTTAATGAATGCCATCCAAATATCACCGTTTTACATGTACACATTGTTCATGTTTCACTCGCCTCTCCTTTACTCAATAAAACCCGAGGCTTGCTGTTAAAAAGCTTGAAAGGCAGCAGCTTAACAAAGACCTGAATGATTCTAAACTTTAAAATGCAAAGCAAATATAGACATCAGCTGTTTGTCATAGGTTTTATATATATATATATCTACATATGATTATTCAAGGTACTTTGTCGTTCGTATCACATGTGGTACATGAGGTGGAACGAAATTATACACGGTCCCAGTTCCATCCAACAACAGCAAAAATATAAATTGTAACAAACAGTAATAAGTATCTAAGAAATACGCTAAACTAAGCAATATGCTAAACACTAATAGTGAAAAACAATACGCCGAACAACAGCAGCATGAACATGATATATATATATATATAATATAGATTAGATATAGACTCATGGCTGATTCACCACAAAATATAAGAAGATACTGTTACAAATGCGTCCTCAAAGCTTGTATGTAACTTAAAATGTCTTAAATGTCTAATTTATTAAGACTTGAGTTCATAAAAGTGGGAAAGAATAAAAGTCTACAAACATGCAGGTTAGGTTGTCTTCAGGCCCAGGCTGCCCTTACAAAAGAGATCTGTGCTCTACGTGGGATTTGCCTGGTTAAATAAAGGTTAATAAACAATAAATAAATCAGACTATTCTAAAATATGCTATAAAAGAGCTTTATGTTCGGGCTATGATCTTAGTGTATGCCATGAAATATGTTATAGAATTTAGCTAATGTTAGTATGTCCTTGACATTCAATGGCACTATATATATATATATATAATAATAATAATAATAAGTGCTATGTTCTGTGCATTTAACCCATCACACGTGAGATACACCCAGGTGGAGCAGTGGGCAGCTATGTAAGAACCCGGGGAGCAGTTAGGGATTAGTTGTCTTGCTCAGGGACACCACATCATGTGGGCATGGCGGGGAGTCAAACTGTGACTTTCTGGTCCCAAGTTGGCCGCCCTAATTCTACCCCATCTCAGCCTCATTTGACAAGTGGTCAAACCTAAAATGTCAGAAGCACAGTAACTGTGTGAGTGACGTTACTGAGCCGTTTGTTTTGCTACTTGTAAGCCAGTTTTCAGTATCCAGTGTCGCTACGACTTGCTTCGACTCTTCTTGGGTCTACAAAGTCTAGGTGGTTTTTGATCCATACTTGCGTGCTGCCTCGATCGTCGTAGCATGACTGCCCAAAACTTCCACTACGGTATTTTCTATCTAAGGCAAACACAATACAGCAATGGGGACATGAAATAAAGTCGCAGAATGCTCGCCGCCATCTGCCAGTTTATAAAAATGCTGTGTCTGAGTCGAGGACACCTTCTTCCTGCCAGTCCGAGCCTGTAAACTTGAGTCCATCTGAATTCTGTTGTCAGCCAACAAGCACACAAACCTTTGCACTGACTCATAGTACCACTGTTGGTTCACGTGTTGTCATTTTAATAGCTACATTATATATAATTTAAAAAATTGTTGCATATTTAAAAAAACATAGTGGGTTTAAAGCTCTGCAGTCTGCTGATGACAAACCTTCAGTTTCTTTCAGTTTGCTTGGCACCTCGGCCGAGTAGGTCCTAAGAACCGAGCTGGAAGCAGGTGGGACTACCTATAGACCGGCTCTGAAGCACTGCGTTGACACGAGTAGGAGCGAGTAGAGCCCATAGAAAAAGGCCATTAGCTATTAGTCTTCTAGCTATTAGGCTATTAGTCATCCTCCTCCATCTCACTCCGAGTCTTTTGTCCTCATTCCAACTACCTCTATGTCTTCTCTTAACTTTTTTCCCAGTTCAACCAGTGCTGTACCTCTGATGATCATTGTGCGCACAAAAGTGGCCTTGATTTTCAGAAACGGGCTTCTCAAAATGCAGCCACACAACTTGATCGCAAACATTTATTACCGTACTCAGTCTCCCAACAGTCGCAGCTCAGTGAGGTCCTGTTGACTGCCACCTTCATCCTTTCATAAATCACACAAGGCAGCAAGGACTTGTCTACAACCTGACATAAAACTGTTTTGGAAAAAGAGACTTTGATGGCTAGAATGAAACAATGGGAAGTAAATTTGGCAACTTTTTCAAAAGTGGTTATCTGAAAAGTTGCATTTTACAATTATAAGCCACACATCAAAAGGTACTGTCAATAACTTTACTGACAGAAGTTTCATCTCCTGTTTAAACATGAGCCAGGCAAGTCACATTACAACTTTAGTTTAATAAATTAATCACTGCTGCCGCTAGGACTGCGTGGTTAAGACGCTGAGATCTGTTTAAAAAAGTGAAGAGTCTTTTACTCCGTTCTAAAATATAATGTGACACTAGATAAGAAAGGTCAGCTGTTACAAATTAACACGTGAAACTAACTACTAAATGATAATTGGATAGTGCTTACCAGTAAATACCACAGATTTACTGTAATCAAGCTTTTTGTTTTTCATTTTAGGATTTTTTTTCTTCCAGTTTCTGGGTTTTACCCATCTTGTCACATTATGTATGTATTAGCATCCAATTTAAAGTGTTTATCCGTCTTTGATATTTCTGTCAAGTAGAGAAAAAAGCTGTTAAAAGAAATTACATACTTTTGGCTGCAGGAATGTAGTTCACAAGTTATGTCTATTATGTGTGCAGCTTTATGTATTCTTCCCTTTTAACTAGTTGTTTAAAAGGGTTAATTAAGGGCTAAGTCAACAAAGTCCATGCTCAATAATCCAGGTATGCAATCCAACATTTTTCAGTCAGGTCATCTGGACAGTTTCTTTATTTGTGCTGAAACGTTTCGCCTTCCATCCAGAAGGCTTCATCAGTCAAGGAAACACAACAAAACTGGTTCTTCCCCCAACAGCTTACTCCAAAGTGGAACAAACCAGTTAAGGGCTAAGTCCATTACAATCTTAGGCCAATTTCTGAAAGCTCAAAGTAAAAAGTGTCAAACCTGATGTCACAGAATGCAATAGTCAAGCAGATAACATACTGGTAGGGTTGCAAATCTCTGTGTCTTTCGATTCGATTCAGATTTTTGGCGTCACGATTTGATACAAACTCATTTTTCTAAAAAAAAAAATAAAAAAATCTAAGAACAAATAATTCATCCATCCATCATCTTTACCCACTTCTTCCTTTTCGAGTCATGAGGGTCACTGGTGCCCATATCTGCCATCGCTGTGTGAGAGGCGGGGGACACCTGGACAGGTCTCCAGTCCATCACAGACAAATAATTCAAAATATTTAAATATAAAAGTAAACAGACTTCAGCCTACCTAGTACATTAACCTTTAACTCAACATAAAATACAGACTTCACATTTATTTTTAACCATATTGCTCTAACATTTGTTATATTTTCAATACTTAACCTAATGTGAAATATATGGACGTCACAGATTGATTCATATTTGGTAAATCTTTAACAAAATTCAAAACCTGTGCAAACCTGCACAAAAACTTCTGAACTGTAATTTATAAACCGTAAACTGTATCATTTAGAACTGGCTGCAGGCGCTGTGTCTCATCTGTCCTCTTCAACCTGTTAAAAAGACAATTTACATTAAGTTTGTTGTACAACTTGTCTATAAGTTTTAGTATAATATGAGAAAATAACAGTTACCTTTGAGCTGCAGCTGCATCAGAGCTTCTCCCACTTTAGTTTTGTTTCATGGTGGAGTTGTGGTGCTGCTTTATCACTAAAACGCTATGTGAAGGAATAACGTACGTTGAGTCCAGCGTATTAAAAAAAAAACTAAACTCCTCGCCTTCCACTGAGCTCTAAAAAAGTTAAGTCAGGTCCTCTGGATGTTCAAAAAAATAAAAAAATTAATAAAAATTGTAGAAACGTTTCGCCTTTCATCCGAGAGACTTCCTCAGTCTGAGGTGCTGTATTCAGCTCAGTCTTATAAATAGCACCTTCTCAGAGTGGATCAACCAGTTTGCTGCTGACAACCAAAACCAGCTGCTCACATGATCAAGAAGGACCATCAGCCTAACAATGGATCATTAGCACCTGACATCTTTTTTTAGATTTTTCTTGAGCATGCATCAGGATATTCCACTGAGCTGTTTGCTCGTAAATCCTTTGTGATATAGCAGGAGATGGAGAGGGAAATCTTCACAGCCTTTGGGGAATCAGATGGAAGTTTGTTGCAGCTGGTCGGCTGCTTCGCTTTCATCTTCTGCACATTTTGTCGTATTTCCAAAATACTGTACCTTAATTTTATTTTACACTTGTTGCAAACAACCGTGCTCTTGTTAAGCTCCGTCTTCCCCCGGAACATTGTAGGATCTGAAATGATTTTTAAAGATGAAGAAGCAGGTCGAATCCTGCTGTCCCCCTCCTCCATGCTAACAGGCTCCATTCAGATACAGGGAGCTGGCTAACTAGCCTGTACGGTGGCCTATACGACCAAAATTCTTCGGCGGCTGAGCGGACACGCAATGCGATATGCAGTACGCTCGGGAGTATTAGCGGAAAAAAATAAAACTTCAAACACATTTTAAAATTGATTTATGGGCCTTTAGAATCGATTCAGAATCGCCAGAACTAAGAATCTAGATTCTTTAAAAAAAAAAATCAAATTTTTTCTGCACCCCTTCATACTGGTACCTATAAACTTGTGACTTTGGCAAAAATTTGCCAGTTTCAATCAAAAATGTAATTTACACAAATCATCTAGATCAGAAGAATTTTCATATAGCATAATTTCACATTGACTGGATTTCCGTAGCACTAAGCTAGTGCCCAGTTGTCCACGGATGTCAGTTTAGGATGCGTCAGAGAAGCGGAGCGCCACATCTATGCCATCTTAGCTATCCTGATGCATGCTCAATAATCCAGGTAGAAAAATCTAAAAAAGTTAAATCTGGTCCTCTGGACATTCAAAAAAACAAAACAAAGCAAAACAACAAAAAAATGTAGAAACGTTTCGTCTCTCATCCGAGAGACTTCCTCAGTCTGAGGTGCTGTATTCAGCTCAGTCTCTTAAATACAAAACAAAATGCAAAACAGCCACTGGCCAAAAGGATGGCCCAGCACAGAAGATCAACATCATCAGGCCAGGACTCTGAGGTCTACACTCATCTCCAGGCCAGCGGTCACTCTTTCAGGGATGAAGATGTTCACATTCTGGATAGAGAGGAACGATGGTTTGAGAGAGGAGTAAAGGAGGCCATCTTTGTGAAAAGAAACCGTCCATCGTTAAACAGGGGTGGAGGCCTCCGGGTTCAACTGTCCCCCTCTTACAATGCTGTGATTGCTAGTATCACTCAGCCCTCTGTGAATAGTAAACAGCCATCAGTGTGCTAATGATCCATTGTTAGGCTGATGGTCCTTCTTGAGCATGTGAGCAGCTGGTTTTGGTTGTCAGCAGCAAACTGGTTGATCCACTCTTATACTGTGCTATTTAAGAGACTGAGCTGAAAACAGCTCCTCAGACTGAGGAAGTCTCTCGGATGAGAGACGAAACGTTTCTATATTTTTTGTTGTTTTGCTTTGTTTTGTTTTTTTGAATGTCCAGAGGACCAGATTTAACTTTTTTACATCTTAGCTAGCACGTCTGTGTTGCGCGCCACTAGCTTAGCACTATGTATTTAAGAAATAAGTTTTTGCTATTGGCAAAATTCTCTGCTATATTTGGTTTCTCTGGTTGGCTTGCTGCTGTTGTTGCTTGTTTATTTTTTATTTTGGGGTTGACACCATCTTCTATGCATGTCCTCATTAAATTAGGACATGTTAGTAAATGTCCTTTTTTTTCTGAAGCATGTTGTCTTTTCCCCTAATTATCTTCTTGGAGTATACCAGAATACTTAATTTACATGTTTAAAATCACAAAACCTTCCAGGGGGGATGGCTGCACAGGGAACATCCCCAACACACACACACACACACACTACAGGCGCTAGGTTTGTCACCTTTTTAATCCCTTGAGGTTGCAGGTATAAGATAAGTGACATAACTCTGCGTCTTACACTGTATTTTTTTTATCCTGGTAAAGAAACATGTTTGGCATCATTCAAGATTAATGTACTGGTATAGGATAGAATTGTGAGTGGAAGGCTAACGTGCTAATTGGTCATTTTAAAATTCAGCATTCCTAGATTACTTGACGTGCAGCGCGCTTGTAGCGTGTCTTTTATCATGTAGCGACGTCTGTCAGTGACTGTTGTTTGTGCCATGGGCCTGATGAACACGCTGCTCATGCCAGAAGTTTGTGTTCGTAGAAAGTGTGTGTGTGTGTGTGTTGTGCATGCATGAAGTAGGGTCACCACAAGTGGATGACTACACCTCTCCGTTATGACTCACGACCAGATTCCTCCTGTGGCGTAGCTGCCATTCTACCACACGCACTCGGCTAATTAATGCGGCACGCACTTTGTAAAAATAAAGGCCAATTAATAATTTATAAATCCACGCGTCTGTTGTGCATTTTTATAAATTTCACAGTGGCTCTGTCACAGTTTTGTGAAGCTGGGAAGCGAAGCGCCGCTGTCAGCCACGGGTCAGACTGAGCCAGCATGTGTGCTTCTCAGAGGCAGTTGGAGCTGCTACGATCCCACCTAGATCATCCATCACTGCCATGGATGAGGATGCTGAAATTAACTAGACTCTCGTTGTTTTCTCCGTCTAATGCTCGCCGCCTCTCTCGGTTTCTCACTCCCTCTGTATCACAGAGGCCTCGCCTGCTTTCCTGCTCTTTGTTTGGTTTTGCTTTTTCCCGTTTGTGCTCGTTTTTGAGCTTCACTACGTTGTATAACCTCTTTCTTCTCACTCCGACTTCCTTTTCTCTGTCATTTTCACCTGCTTGCAGTAGAAAAAGACTATTTAAAATTGATTTAGACATTGTGCCATTGGTTTATTTATTTTGACAATGCAGCCCTTCAACTTGTTTGTCGCGCAGATCCAAGCGCACAACCGCACTAGGCTGTGAATGAGTTTGTTTTTAGACATTATTATTTCATAAAAGGAAAGTGGTTGATCTGTTGGATTTCTTCACTTGACTGGTTTTAAAATAGATTTTAAGGAAGGTAGAGTTTTAACAAAACGAAACACAAGCAATTCTTTAATAATCAAATTGATACTGAAGCACTAAAATGCATTCCTTTGTTCATAAAGTCAAGGTTTTTCTCTTTTCTCAGTCACATACACCAGATATTGCAAAATAAGCCTTTTTTTTTTTGCTTCACTGCTGTTGAAGGAAGCACTTGGCAAAGATGCTACAGCCAATTGAAATATTAAGTATCAGCCTTGTCAATTCTTCTACACAGGACAGATGCTGACCTCTCCAAGATGGAACCCAGCAGGTTGATCTTTTTATACGGTATTTGCTTAATGGCCCTCATCCCTTTCAGACTTGGCCAGGGATGTTTGAAGAACCCTTGACAGGAGAGGAGCTCCACTCCTCTCCTCTTGTATCCTCTCTTCTGCTCATCTCGTCACGAAGCCCCAGGCAATCTCTTAATTAGCCTCCTTAATTAGGTGCTTTCTGATTCTCGGGATAAATTTTCAACAATCGGCTGAAGAGCGTCGCTCTCTCTTATTTGCATTAGAGTTGCTTATGAAGCACGAGGTGTGGTTAATGAATGGAGACGCCTGAGCTGTCGACATCCCATTCATCTGCCTTGACGTTGATATGCCACCTTTACTTACACTTGAAAGGTGCTTAGCATGAACTGACTTTTGGGAAATGTTTCAGATTTGTTACAACTTGTAAAAACTCCTGCTTAACTACTGTTAACGTCTTGCCATTTTCCAGAATGGTTCATTTATTTATTATTTGTTCTTATTTTCTTTATCCTTTAGTGTGTTATTTAGAACATGTTTGAGTTTATTTAAATACACCTAAAAAAAAAATCACAACTCATAACAGAATCTTAATTGTTTTCTACTATCATCACTGATTTTTGTTTTTTTGTCCCAAAAATATTTTTTATGTTTTATGTAACATTCCTGTTTGTTTTACAAAGTACTTTAAATTTGATATTTATCAATATTTCTATATTTCTGGTCACTGTTCTTGACACAAGGTCTGTGTTTGTTGATCACACCCAGGTACATGCAAACGTCCTCATGTAGACCTTGCTTGTTAGATCATCCTAATTGAGTACCATACATATTTTTTAAAATGTCAATCAAAACCTATAACATTTTTTTATGTGTTATTTTAAACGACTCTCAATTTGCTTTCAAGACACAGCTTCTGGCAGTTTTTTCTGGGTTGCTGTTCTTTTTGTATTCAGACAAAAAACAAAAAAGACCCATTAAGTTAAAAGTGCACCTATTTTGTATAATCAGTGTTGTTACATAAAATGATGGTTGTTTGAAAGTAGATTTAAAGTGCTGGTCGATCCATGGTTGACGGTGTCTACTAACTGGGCCACCGGGCGAATGCTGGTCCATTTTATGTTCTTCTCAAGTTGTGCTGTTTCTCAGCTGGACTCCTCTTATTGTTTACAGACATGCCCATATTTGGTCAGTGTCCCTCACAGGACGACTTCTACCTGGTGATGTGCAGCCACTGTGGTCATGTCGTCAAGCCTCAAGCCTTTCAAGCACACTACGGTAAGATTCATTCACAGACACTGTCGAATTGTTTCAGTATGAAAATGACACGTACAACTACCACTTTGTAAAAAGAGCTGCCGTTGTTCACATTACATGTTGAATCCATCCATTTATTATCTTTTGTCCGATTCTTCCTCCGGGTTGCGGGGGTCACTTGTGCCCATATCCAGCAGTCACTGCGCGAGAGGCGGGGGACACCCTGGACAGGTCTCAGTCCATCACATAGAGACAAACGAGACAAACAATCATTCACTCTCTCACTCACATCTAGAGACAATTTAGAGTTGAATCGTTTTAGAAAAAAGTTGTTCAGCTGAACGCTGTTCAAGATCAAGACAGCAAGTAAGTGTGCAGCATATTTTAGGTGACACTAGTTTATTTTTTTAAGGGGCTCGTGTACATTTTGAAATTCTGTTTTTGATTTTAGGATCCCTCATGGTTTTTTAAAAGAGAGTAGATAAAATAGTAGAAGTTCGGACAAAGATTTAACTAACACACTTGTCAAAGTAAAATCAGTTCCACTTTTGGCTTAATATTTTACTTCTGGTAATTGTCTGTTTATTAACAAATAAATATTCAGTTATAATTTTAGATGAAAATAAAATGTTTCTTGGAATTTAGATCTAGATTGGGTAGGGTGTTGTGACATTGTGAGGTCCTATCTTGGAGAACGTTATGTTCTGTAAATAAATAAAAAAGTTAACATATAGGGCAGGACACTATAGCTAATATGTCTCTCATTTGGGGCTTGATTACAACCTACAAATTATATCTCAGTATTTTAACATCGGCTTTAAATAAATACTGACTTTAACCCTGTAATGCACAAAATATGCTAATGTGACGATTCAAATATGCAAGAACTTCAGCAAAGAAAAATCAACAATGAATCCTACACTGGGTTAACTGGGGGTTTCCGTTTATCTCGGACAACCAGAACTCTCCTCGAGGTTGTCTGGTGCACAGCCAAGTGAAATAGACATGGATTAAAAGTGCTCCGTCGCCACGACGAATTTCTGTCATCTTTAAAAATGAAAAGGGGAAATAAATGTGTGTTCTGTTGTGGCCATCCAATCTAATGAGGGATTAAACTGGTGCTGCTTTCAACAAATAGAGACCCAGAGCCACAGTTTGACCCCATCAGAGCAGGGCGTGTCGTGCTGTTTGATACACGATAAGTCCAGATCAGACACAGATTGCAGGTGAGAGCACTATTCAGGTTCTTGTACTATTTTCCATGGAGGACACTCTGCTATCCTAACCAAAGGTGTAATAAAGTATTAAACGTATGTGTTCGCACGTGACCAATTCTCTGATACCAAAACTGATACACCATCACCCCGTCCTCTCACACCGAGCCCCAACCTCCTCAGGACTTTTGTATCTAAAGTCCCGAGGAGTTTGTGTCACTCACATGAGAGAGAAGGCTGCATCTGCTGCTTTAGTTCTTATAATTAAACAATATCAATGCTAAAACATGAATATTTTTATGCCCCAGATTATAGCAGCGATGAGTGTCTCTGTTTAACTTTAATTTGCCCCCAAACTCACCACGTTCTCTCTATGAGAGAGTCCGTTTCAGATGTTTGTATTTTATCATAAATATCGGCTAACTTAAATCTGAGTGTTTTTGTCATAATAAGGTGTTGTGTCTATTTGGAGGAGCTGAACTTGTTTATATTTAGAACCATTCTGAGAGACGACTACTGTAATAAATCCAAATTAATAAATGATCAAATATGAAAATGAACTGAAATCCTATAAATATAATCCCTTTGGATGAAATTGTCATTTTAGGGGTAAAATATGTCATTGTGGAAAATAAAAATTAATAATTTTAAGTAAATTTATAGCAATGTGCTATAATAAAAAATATATAATTTGACAACCTCTTAATTGAAAACTCTGAAATAACATAACAACAGTGACCGCCACAAAACATCACTGGTCTAGAGGAGATCTGCATGGAGGAATGGGTGGGCCAGAATACCAGCTACAGTGTGTACAAACCTGGTGAAGACTTACAGGAAACGGTTGACCTCTGTCATTGCCAACAAAGGTTATGTTACAAAGTATTAAGTTGAACTTTTGTTATTGACCAAATTTACACTAAGCACTAATAACATAAAAAACATCACGTTGAACATCAGCACAAACCTAAATATGAGTCCGTGTAAGCAGATGAGCACGCATAAACACACCAACATTGAAACAGATCAGCAGCGACATTGAAACAGATCAGCAGCAACATGATGTGATTTTTTTTTTCCACAGTGATTATTCTGTTTAGAGATTCATGAGTGTAACAGCCTCAGGGTAGAAGCTGTTCCTCAGTCTAGTGGTTCTACACTTAATGCTCATCAACCTCCTTCCTGAGGGGAGCGGTGCAAAAAGTGTGTGTGCTGGGTGAGTGAGGTCTTTCATGATGCAGTTGGCTCTCTTCCTGCATCTGGAGGTGTAGATGTCTGTGATGGTGGGGAGACTGACTCCAACAGTCTTCTGTGCAGTCTGGAGACCACTTCCATTGCAGATCCTTGTATGTTCAGTGGGGTGTAGGTGTTTTTGTTCCTTCTGAAGTCCACAGTAATCTTCTTTGTCTTCTTCACATTGATGTGAAGGTTATTCTCTTTGCACCAGCTCTCCAGATGTTCCAGCCTGTAGCTGGACTTATCATTGTTTGTGATGCATCCCACCACCGCTGTATCATCTGCAAACTTTACAATGTGACAGCCTGGATGGGTAGCTGCACAATCATACGTGAGCAGAGTAAACAGGAGGGGGCTCAACACACATCCCTGAGGAGAGCCAGTGCTGAGGGTTATGGTGGAGGAGGAGAAGTTGTGGATCCTCGCTAACTGTGGTCTGTTTGTTAAGAAGTCTAGTACCCAGTTGCAAATGGAGGGGCTTAGTCCTAGTGTGAATAGTTTTCCATCAGGGTTTGGGTTGGTGTTGAAGGCGGATGTGAAGTCCACAAAGAGCATACAGAAGTCGGAGTCATTCTGCTCCAGGTGGGTGAGAGCAGTGTGGACCACAGAGGAGATGGCATCCTCTGTTGATCAGTTCTCACGGTATGCATACTGATGAGGGTCCTCGATGATGTTGATGGTTGTTTTGATGTGAGTCATGACAAGTTTTTCGAAGCATCTAGCGACTATCGGGGTGAGGGCCACTGGCCGATAGTCATTCAGACCAGTCACTTTAGAGCTCTTTGGGACTGGGATGATGGTGGCAGTTTTCAGGCGGGTGGGAACTGTCTCCTGGGTAAGTGAGGTGTTAAAGATGTCTGCCAGCACCTCACAGAGCCGATCGGCACATTCTTTCAACACTTTTCTGGGATGTTGTCTGGGCCGGTTGCCTTGTGCGGATTAATCCTCCTGAAAGTACTCCTTACTTCACCTCTAGGTGGAGAAAAATTCTGAAGATTTTTTGTTGCTGCTTTAATCCCTGAGCCTTAAATACGCTGCGAGTGCTTCTCTTGCAACGTCTGATGACAAGGCAGAAGATGTGGAGAACTAGGAAGTTCCACTTGAGAAGTTCCTGAAAGAGTCTGCCACTCAGTAGCTTTGAAATTCCAAGCAGTCCACAAGATGGCTGACTGAGAACATTTGTATATAGTAAACTTTGTATATAGTGCAGTATACTGTACATAATGAATTACATGTTTCTTGAGATTGTTTGACTTCTTTAAAAGTTGCGAACCTCCATTATTCACCATAAAGTTATCAAGTGTGTTACATAAATATAAACAAATAATATGTATATAATATAATTGAAGAAACGCCTTTCCCTGTTCATTTTTTAAACAGTCAGTCACGTATGGTGATGGTCTAATTGGTATTGGCTGCAGCAGTGTTTTCTTTTTCTTTGCAGAGACATTAAGATTTCAGACAAACAACGCATTTCATTGAGGATGACAAAGATAACATTACTAACACTGATATATATTTACCGCTACATTAGATTTATTGTTCAGGCTAAAGTTTTACAAGGCAACAGCCTGTGTTATGTTATCTAAATGTTAGCTTGCTAACTTGAGAGGCACATAGCTAATGACAAGCGTGTTGGAGGATTGAAAATAATTTATTATTGTTGATTTTGTTTTACAGATTAGTTAAAAAAATCTTACCATGCACTGTTCAGCAAAATATTCTACACAGTATTTCTCCCTGCTTCGTCTGTGCTGAACATGAAAGTTAAAGTGAACAGCCATGACTTGAAAGTAGTTTTCATGCGCCCTCTGCTGGATACATTGTACAATTACGTCTTTTGCAAGTAAGGACACGGCTCGTTCCTAGAATTCATATCGGCGCATAATGGGACAGTTATCACAGATGCCGATAGGTCCCCAAATGCAGATATTGGCCTAAAATATCATCACTACCAATATATCGGCCAGGCTCTAACCCCTGGTTAAGCAATCGGGGAAAACCATTGTGTTGTGATATAAGAACTTAATGAACATCACATGGAAAATGCAAAACATCAACTGTATCTGTGACCTCACCATAAGTAGGCTTTATTTCCCTTTAGTTTGTCTGAGGCAAATATTAGTAAAAACATAAGTTAGCCCTGTGTCAGTTATTTTTTTATTCATGTCTCTGTAAGAGGTGTTGATGTGGATTGTAATATGGGGCTCTGATCGTAATATTATTTTCATTTATACAACCATCATGCCACTCTGGCACTTTTTGTGGTTACATTAGAACAGTAGCATAATTTTTTTTATCTGTCTTTGCACCCCTGCTGCTTTTTCAGTTTTCCTGCATGACGTGTCATTTATCACAATTTATATATTTGACAAATCTAACTTCTAACAAATATTAAATAAAAGTAGCATTCCTTGAAGGAATGCATATTGCCTGTTGCCTAGCATGCCAAAATAAAAATAAAAAACTGGTCTTATGGGGTGACTCTCAGATACTTCCATACTAAATTTGAACTCAATGCATGCCTCCAACAATTACTGTCTAAGAATTTCATTAAATGCGTCGAGTGGG